TTTTTTTTTGCGTACAGATAATTTCAAATCCATCATCAAATAGACATATTTTATTTGATGTGGCTTGTGGCGTGCAGGGATGGATCTACACTTGTTCCAACGTCTGTGCAAATAATAATAATAAAACATAAAAAAAAAATGCACGTTTTGACGCCAGAGATCCGCATCGTTGAAATATTACATAAACCTCCCTCCAATGGCTCACCCGCTGCTTAATTTCGCATTAACTTCTCGGTGTGATAATGATGTCCAACAACAAGACAGACATTAGTCGATAAGCCTCGCCCTGCATCTGAAGGGGCCTTTGGGCCCACCGCGGACAAGCAGGGGCAGTGAATAGATTGGCCCTATTTCGGGTTGTTCAGGGGGTTGCATGCTCTCTCCTCACTCATTTGTTTCCAATTGAAGACAGAAATCCTGACTGGCGTGTAGCTGGCCGGGGGACGTGATTAATGATGGTAGTGGATAAGGGTTAACACACTGGACTCAAAGCTCTGTTGACTAGGATCCTCGTACGCACAATGCCGAAGCACTATAGCCTGCGCGCCTCCACAGAGAGAGGATCCTTTTGTCATCTCCCCCTCCCAGCACCCCCCCATCCACCCTCCTCCCATATATTACACCCACCGAGGGCTCGCTGGTCGTCCCTGGCTGTGTCCATAGTTTAATGGTTCCCCTTACTCCTGGAGGCATTGTATCATTCTGAAAAGCGTCTTCTCCTATTCAAAAGTTGGTGGTCACCTCAATGGCTCTACCAACGCCCATATGGGAGCGACCATTGAAGCGCTGCTCTGTCCTAGAAAACAGAGGGGATGGGTTGGGGAGGGATGGGGGGCCGCAGAGTTTTGGGGTTTTAATACATTTCATAGGCTCTGAAAAGAGGCTCGCCACTTCTTGACACATTTCTCTTAACCTTTTGAGAACACAAACCATTGTTGGGAGACGATAAGTGCGCAGGGCCATCCTGTTTTTCCCACAATATTTTATAAACACATTAAACACTTTTTTTTTTTTTTTTTTACACTAGCCTCTTTCACGTAGGCACTCGTCAGTAATCTGGCAACACTAGGAAGAAATTGCAAATAATTCCTCCAATTTTGAATTAAATTAACCATGATGGAGGGAAAGGGGGGGCTTAATTAATGATGTAGCACAGCGCTCTGTACAATTAGCTGTAGGCTCATGCAACAAGATAATTAATTATTCAATTAGATTAAATGAATGTATATTTCCATTAATGATTTTTTCCCCCTCTCCTCTTCTTCCTTCCTCTGCTCTCAGATGGCTGCCAACAGCAGGACGGCGCAGGAGAAAACACAAACTCCATCAGCTCGAACGGCGAAGACTCGGAGGAGACGCAGATGCGTCTGCAGCTCAAGAGAAAACTGCAGAGGAACCGCACGTCTTTTACGCAGGAGCAAATCGAGGCGCTGGAAAAAGGTCCAAAAATCAGTAAATTATTTCGTCAAACTCCTATCATATGAAATAATAGCAGCCAATGTGTTCCCGACGACCATGTGAATTTATTCTGAGGTGAAAGCCAAGCCTTTAAAGGCCAAAACAAAAAACAAACAAACAAACAAAAAAAAAAAACAGCGTTTTATGAACTAATATCCACGCACCTTTGTAGTTATTTACTCATGTTTTTTGTTTGATTTGTTCTATTACAGAATTTGAGAGAACGCATTATCCAGATGTTTTCGCACGGGAAAGACTAGCGGCGAAAATCGACCTGCCCGAAGCAAGAATACAAGTATGGCCTCCAACAACTTGTTTTTGTTCACTTGTGAAAGCTTGTACATCAGATTCTTCTTTGATAGGCTTCTGTCTGTTGGGAAGAAAATAAAATATATAGATAGTAATTTATTTATTTACTTTTTTTTATCAAAGGTATGGTTCTCAAACAGAAGAGCAAAGTGGAGGCGAGAGGAGAAGCTGCGGAACCAGCGTCGACAGGCCAACAACTCCTCCAGTCACATTCCCATCAGCAGCAGCTTCAGCACCAGCGTCTACCAAGCCATCCCTCAGCCCACCACACCGGGTATTCAAACTCTTCAATTTTATAAATATTTTAATATTTACCAGGTGGGGTCTTTTTTTTTTTTTACTTAAACCTTGTATTCTGTGCTGTGGTTAAAATTCTGGGATCAAATTACCACAAAAAAAATGTTCCTCAAGATCCACTTTTTAAAATGACAACAACAAAAAGTCTATCAGGCCTGAAAGCAACTGTAAAGGAAATACTAAATTTACATTTATAATTACATATGGCAGCTGTTTCCGCATGAAAAATTCCATCATGAAGCTAGTTTTTGGTTAAAAACAAGACTATAAAAGTTGGGAACAAGGACCGTCACATACATGTCCAAACTGGCTGACACAGAGTAGACTTGCTGTCTCTTTAAGCTAAAGTGAAATTATAGTTTTCCAAGAAGTTCATGTAGAACTGACAAGACCACTCCAAAATGTTGGGGTTACTTCCGAAACACCTACACACTTATCAAATAAATGTCAAAAAAACATATACAGTGACACATTCTCCCACTTACTAGTACAAACCAGACAAGACCTGCCTGAAATATCACTAAACAGTAAAAGAGTCACAGTCTGAGTGGACTGATATAGTAAAGGAGGGTTGTACACTTGAAGAAAAGCTGTGCTTCTCTTTTAATGGATGACTGAGTAAAAGTTCACAGCTGACTGTCCGTGTAATTGCAGAATCAGGCAGGAGAGCACACCAGCAGAGCTGAAGCTCATGCTCAAAAGTCAGTCACCTGAGAAGTATTGTACAGTATCTCTCTGGGCCCATCAGCATGTTGAACGACAACACGAATGAGATGAGCTCCGTTGACCAAAGGACCGCATGTGTGTAATATGAGCACAGTTTCTGTTGCTTCTGACGTTTTTTTTTTTGTTTTTTTCTCTCTCTCCATCTCCTGACAGTGTCTTTCACCTCGGGGTCAATGCTTGGCAGGCCTGATTCTGCACTAACAAACACCTACAGTGCGCTGCCCCCCATGCCCAGCTTCACCATGGCCAACAATCTACCTATGCAAGTAAGTGCAGAGGAACTTTCAGGTCAGGTTTTGGGATGATGCAGGTTTATTGTAAGTCTGAAAACAAACATACCTGAAGTAAGTCCAAACAGACACCCTAAAAGTCTTCCTGAGAAAAATTAAAAATAGTAAAAAAAAAAAAAAAAAGAGCAAGAAAGAATGGCTTTTATGACAGGGAAATATAACAAAGTGCAGCATAAAAGCTATTAGAGACTGCTGAGCTGAAAATATGGTTGGCTAAGCTAATGAATAATTTTCTCCTCGTTTTATAGCCCAGCCAGACCTCCTCTTACTCCTGCATGCTGCCTACCAGTCCGCCTGTGAACGGGCGGAGCTACGAAACATACACGCCCCCTCATATGCAGGCACATATGAACAGCCAATCAATGACCACTTCTGGTACCACCTCAACAGGTAGGCAGAAAGTTTATTGTTTACCAACAAACATCCGTATGGGAGCTAATCGCAGCACTGTGAAATATCTGCCACCTCTCCTGTAATTAGGGGGTACTTCATAGCCACGTCTGATTCATGATCTGTCGCTGCGGCTTTACCTTCCCATCCCGTCTGTTTGAGAGACTTCCATCCTTTAAACGTCCCGGGGTCAATCTCAAATCATTTTCTCTCCCTGCAGCAGTGTGAGCCCTGTTCATTTCATTGCCACTCTAGGCCATCATGTCAGCCCCACGACTCCGGCACATAGTTTAGTTCCACCCCATTAGGGTGCTGTTTCAGAGGGCCATACATACCGGTTATAGTCATGAAGAGTTAATCATGCATAACCACATTTCCTCTGTGCTAAATTGCTAATTAATTTGATTCATTTGCTGTTGTACTCTCTCTGTTTAAATGCCATCGCCACGGCCTCAATTTATCGAGCTTGCGAGCGTTTCAGAGAGCGGCCGTGTGCAGAGCGTTGTGACTCACCGCAGCCCCCCACCCGCCCCCCAAAGCTTGTCCGCTCATTTTTACAAGCTTTTAAAGTACAACACTCTGTCCCGGTGTCACCTCTGACTGCACACAGTGCATGCACTCAGCTACTTACGACCTTTAAAGATACTTCACCTCTTTGCTGATGGATTTCTGTATTATGTTTTTTTCATTTCTTTCTCTCTCTTTGTTTTTTTTGTCTCTTGCAGGGCTCATCTCTCCTGGAGTGTCTGTCCCTGTCCAAGTCCCAGGGAGCGAGCCTGACATGTCTCAGTACTGGTCAAGACTACAGTAGAGAGAAGAGCTACTTCACCCTGTAAGCACCCACTCCACCATCGCCCTCCGGCAGTGCTCCTCACAAATACATGGCACAGGAGAGAAAGGGGGAAGAAGGAAAAAAAAAGGCGCAAGAGGGTTGAGGAAGAGGCAACAGACAGGAGAGGAAAGAACGAGAGGGACTCTGGGAGAGCCTTGGGACGTCTGGGCTTTGTTTCCCCCACCCCCCGCTGGGACAGTGTGCTGTTGTGTAGCTCTAGGCACATTCAAAACGAGGACTTGGAAGAGAGAGACCAACAGTGGAGAGAGACAGAAAAAAAAATATGGACCTCTGTAAAGTGCCCGGTGTTAAATTTTTATGGAACAAAAACTTATCCGTTCTTTTTCTATTTCCAACTTCAGTCATTGTTTCCCTTTTTTTTCTTCTGATGTGTTTGTAAATGGCCATTTGTATGTTAATATGAAAAAAAAAAAAAAGAAAAACAAGATCAAGTACTGATAGACGGACTGCTAGAAAACCATGTTGGTGTTTTTCTTTCTTTTTTTTTCTTTCTTTTTTTTTTTTGCTAAAGGAGAAGCTGAGAGAATCTGCCATGACTATCTTTTAATCTGCTTATATCGAGACTTTCTACCAGCCCTTTGCATGGTCTCTGGACGCATATCATTAAAGACGAAAAAAGCTGGAGGAAGACTCTTACTGTGAACGAAAAAAAAAAAAAAAAGAAGAGAAAACTATTTATTGGTCCTATTTTGTTGCGAACGGATATTCGGTGGAGGAAAACTCCAAGTCGATCCACCCACTGAGGCCGCGGCGGTCTCGGCCTCTGATACAAGGCCTTGCATTTATTAGATTGGGAATCCTATCAACAGCTCCAAGCGTGCAAAGACGGCACAGCTTGCAACACAAGTTGGACCTCCTGCTTCTGTGGTTGGATTGATTCTTTAGATTACCACCGAGAACATTACGCGTGGAAAACAGGTGCAGCAAGACACCCACCCACCCCAAACCCTCCCCTTCCACATCTCCCTTCCCCCCCTCCAAACACCTGTATTCTGTAAATGGTTGACTGCGTCTTCGATATAATCCAGTTTGTTAATGTCCAAATGTAAAGTACTTGTCTTCCCCTTTTTTTTTCGGAAATCTTCCAGAAAGATTTCTCCAATAAAAGTCAATTTCAGTTTTACATTCCCAAGAATATTCTATAAATGTTCCATTGCATCATGAAATACATTTCTTTAGGGTCAGGTACAATTTGTCTCTTAGGTATAGTTGTAATATAGTGTCCTATGGTCATAAAAAAAAAAGAAGAAAATGTGCAACTAGAAATATTTAATTCCTATAATTATGATTAAACATTGCTTGACAGAGTTTTAAACTTAAGTGTTTGGCAGTTGTTTACAAGTACATATCAGATCTAATCATTGTTGATTGTAAAACAGACCAAAGCCTTTGTATTTCATCTAGAACACAATGTTTCTTTCATTATGTTTTTTTTCTTTTCTTTTTTAAGATATTAGTTTTGTGTTGCAAAATTTTGTAAGCACATTTTGTTCAACTACATTGGCTTCGAAGACTGCAGTCGAACAGTCCTTATTTATAATTAAAGACCATGGGATGGGTTTTATTTTATTTTTTGTTTTCTTTTCTAGCGTCATCTGTCGCCATGCTCTTTTTTGAGTTTTTGCATTTTTGTTTCAGTGTGTACGTAGGACATGGACACATACCGGGGTTTACGTCTGAGCTTTGCTTCTGAGATAAAACACGCTGTCTCTTTAAATATTTCAATTTAATTTTATTTAAAATGGAGCTTTCTAAATGTATTTTGTGAAAACTATAAAACATTTTGTACAGTAAAAAAAAGAAAAAAAAGTGTCTTAAAGAAAGCCTTTTTTTAAAAAAAAAAAACAAAACTTTTTTTTTGCGTGCATTTTGAAGCAAGAATCATTCCTGCATTTATAAATAATTCCTAGCGAGGCAGTTTGTTATACACACCGCAACATTTCAAACTCTCACCAAAACAAAGGTGTCCAGAGTAACAAACCTCTCCTGATGTATGGGGCTGAGCCGAGTCGACACAGACCACACAACAAAACACCACCACACAATGAGAAAGGTCAAGCAATTCACCATCGCTGGCTCTTGTTTTAGTGGAGCTACGGTGGCATGGAAAAAACACAGAGAAGGAGGCAGAAGGGAAGAGAGAGAGAGAGAGAAAAGGAGGGAGGGGGGGAGGGAAAAAAAAAGTTGGGAAATAAAGCAGTCAGAGCCTAGAGCGAGGAAGAGGAGCGATTGTATGGCAAAGTGAGTTATTTTGCTTCACTTGCTGCCTCAGCAGGGGGGGGGTTATGTGTGTGTATGCGGGTTTAAACGGGTGTGTGGAGAGTCCATCTCTATAAGGCAAAGATACTCAGGAGAGGAGCGGGGTCAGGTAACACACAGCAATCTGGAGCACCAAATGTCCCACTACAGCGATTCATTGAATTTACACGTCTCACTCAGTATTTAATAGTCCAATCAGAAGTTGGAGGATTGGAGGTTAATCAGATTTCTTAGATGATCCCCTCCCCCGCCCCACCCTCATAACGCTATTTCTTAATTCATTAAATCCACTTTATCTCAAAAATGGAGGAGCAGATTGTTCAAGAGCGAGGGAAGAGAAGGCAGAGCAGAATAGCAAGAACATGAATAATTTCAGAGAAAGAAATGGAAGATGGATTCAAAATGCAAGGTCTGCAATTAGTGGAAATCTAAATAATACACATCTTTGGGATGAAATGGTTGAAATGTAATTCTCACTCATTTGTGAAGTCAGTGAGTTTCTTTAAAAAAAAAAAAAGTTCTTGGGCTCGTTGTGCTTTCAGATCCATTCTTTATTGAGGTGGGTTCATTTCCAGAGATCTTAACGCGAGTTCAAACCGCAGGGAACACAAGGCGGCACTTACGTCCTCTGCGGTCTGTGGGAGCGAGCACAACAGAAAGAGTCTGTGTCATAACGTGTTCTTGTTAAATATTACAACTTACATAGGTTGTAGCAAAAAACCTGCGACAAATACATGTGGTTCATCAAAGCAAAGTTCTCAGAAAAACTTAGTTTGCTTTGTAAATGTCAGACTGTGCGCCTTAACCCAAAGGAAAGCGAGACAAACATAAAGCAACTTCTGGAAAACAGATTTGTGAGGAGTCAAAAGGACACGAGCAGCTGCTGTGAGGACACATTCATCACCTATTTGAAACTTTTGTTACAGTTGCATTTCAAAAGGTGTCTTCTTGAAGCTGTGTCTACTACACACAATCCTACAACTTGGATGTAATTTGTGTAATTATTTTTCTTCGCGAAAGTTAAAGCACAATTACAGCCGAGCCCGAGATGAATCATACTTCCAAGATTTAGTTTGCAAATTGCTTTCCACTCACTCAACCAGGAAGTTTGTTGCTGAATAGAAATCAGACAAGTTTCAAATCAAAGGAAAAATGTTTCTAAAATGAAAAGATAACTTATTTGTATAACTAGGCCTAAAATACTTTGTGGTTATTGATAACAGAAAATACGTGTTACAAACAAAAGGCTACATGTGGTGATCTTGTTTAACCCACTGCTGAGCCCCGGAGGAACCAATCAGGAAAACCTTGAAGCTTTACCCGAAAAAAAATTGAAATCAACTTTACCCTTTATCATGAATAGTGTGGCCATAAATCCAACACGGCGTAATTGAATCCATGACTTCATTTAAAAACACATTTAGACTGTGAATGTGGAAACAAGCAAACTCAATATGAGAGGAACGTACGCAAACTGAATGCTACATTTATTCATTGCGGGGTGAATTACACTTTTGAATAGCTGGTTGAAAATTGAGGCAATGTCGCTGTGAAACTGGAGTGCAAACTGCCATAAACTGATTTATAAAAAGTTCAAATTAGCCAATGGCTCGCTTAAGTTTGGGGGAAAATGCAAAAAAAAAAAAAAAAAAAAAAAACAAGACAAATGAAAAATTATGACGACTTTGTCAGTGAAGTTGGGTTGCAGCCACTTAAACGTGATGCCAAATCTTCATCACATCAGATGGTTTACATTTTTTTTTTTCTATTCGTGGGTGATGATGTTTGTTGATAATCTGAACATCAAAGAACAGCGACCCAGCACCGAATGTTTTCAGGTCAAACTGGACCAAAAAGAAGCAAACATAAAAACATTACAAAATTAATCTCTTCTCCTGGAATTAACTTTTAATGTGTTTCCATTATATGTTCATCCATCCATTCATTATCTTACACGCTTACACCTGGCGGGGTCCCCAGGGTTCAACAGGCGAGAGGTGGGGTAGGTTCTGGACAGTCCATCCCAGTCCTTCAGACGCCATCACCGAAATATTAAGCAGCAGTTCCATAAAAGTGACCTGTGTGTCCCACAACACCAGGTTTCAACAGGCAAAAAGATTCAAAGTGGTATCAACTTCCAACAAAAGAAAAAAAAAACATTTCATTTATCATGGTACTTTAATTTTCATTTTTTAAATTTTGCATGTGACCGTTTGACCTAATTTGATCTTTAAAGCAGCAGCTCATCCATCAAACACAGCACATGAGGTGTGAAGCCTGCGCCCCCTCTGCCCACATTCCTATTGTTTCAGCTCTGTGGATGTAGACGCCGCTCACCAGCAACGTCTCTGTGGATTAGACTGGAGCTTTTCTGTATAAACCTGAAACCAGTCAGGCAGACCGGAGCGCTGCCATGCAGGACGCTCCTCAGAGTTGAACCAAGATCCAACAGAGAGACCGTGTTGGGTTTCGTACAGTTGTTCTCTTCTTTAATTAATTTCACAAGAGCACATTGCTCTGTCCCGGAACATAAATTGTATTTGCGGACTGATTTAAATGGTGGAGCAGCACAGCAGATGCCTCTTGTTTGTAAAGAAAGCCAAGAACAAAGATAAATTATTCAACGTTTCCCAGGATGGAGAATCTGTAAAGGCTGTAAAATATTTCATGATTACACCGGCGGCGGAGGCGAGCCTTTTTGTGGGTAACAAAAGTGAAAAGAAACAAACTTGTCTTGTAATGCAACTTTTTATGAGATTTTATTTAATGTGTGGACAAAATCATGACAACTTAATATATCTGCGCAAAATAAAACATTTAATGCAAACAATAAATGTGTTTGCTATGAGCAGAGGTGTTGTGGAAGTTTAGGTCTTCACCTCTGGCTGGCCTGGTTGGCAGGTGGTAACGGCCGGCTGCTTCATAGCAGCTGACATCACCTGAACGAGGCAACACCCCGGTTGCCGCAGCAAAGAGGGCAACGGCCACGGTGATTCAGTCTTTGGTTTCCTGTCAGAAATCCAGGTTTTTGGTGCCGGAAGCGCCGGAGCCACAGGCAGAAGCCACTCCTACAGGCTCCCCCCTGCTGACACGACTCGCCGTGTCGGACAAGTCCGGAGGCAAGTGCAGTCGCTAGGAGAGAGGCAGACAGAGAAACGGAGCGTTAGAGCAAAAACAAAAAAAAACAGTAGCAGTACAGTAGATCAGCATACAGTAGGTGGTACACTCCAGTGGTGCTTATTCACAGAGAGCCATGTTGGGTTGAAATTGCATTAGATGCTTCAGCACTCCCTTTAACACTGGCAGCATCGAGGAAATCTGCTACCTTGCTGCTAAATGCTTCAGAGAGCTTTAGGTCTGTTACACCTCACAGCCATAAAACTGGATGTGTACCAGTGTGTCAGATTTTACAGAACAAAAAAAAAAAAAAAAAAAAAATAAACAGAAAAGAAAAAAAAACAGGAGAGAGGGGAGAAAGTGTGTAATCTATCATTAAAGGGTAATGGGAACCCAGATGGCTTTTTTTTTTTTCTTTTTGCTGGTAATGTTTACTTTGTCTTTAATCTGTTGAGTTTATACCAAAGTTACAATCAGGTGCTTTAGCCATTTTGCAGCAAAGCTTTTCTTGACTCAGAGGTTGAGGAGGTACACTCATTTAAAGCACACAGTGGAAGGGCCACACTTCCAAGCTCTCACCAGAATGAAGTAGAAAGGCCACCAACGGACCACAGCGAGCAGAGTCCTGAAGGGCCCTCGAACGCCTGAAAGGAGGTGAAGTATCTTCCAAGTCAAGTGTGCCCCACTCGCCCACCTCCCCTCCCCCGACAATGGTGTTGAGTAGCAGGTTGCTTGAGTGTCTGTCAAGGAAGTTAAATCAGAACGCTGCCATTCTCTGGGACAAGAGAGGTTAAACCCTGTAATTTGCCCTGAAAGAATCTGCTATGACATCTGAAACCCTCTGGTCAAAGCCTGCGCTCTCTCCCACCCAATCCCAACCAGCTAAAGCTTCCCTGCCCGCCACATCCGCATCCCCTCCAGACATCCAGCTTTACAGGAGAGCCCTTCCACTCCCAAAGATACTTATCTTCATTCTAAACGACTAGGTGTTTGGGTACGGGGTTTTACTAAGAGATAAATCACCACCATGTAATGTTCTTCACCCCTTTAGGGTACGCAACTTCCACCCACTATTCAGTTTTGTTGTTGGAAACACCAGAGTTTGTTGTACTATCACTGATGCTATTGTCTGATATGGATGCTTGAGTTCCTACTGATGACATTAAACAATTTAGAGAAGCTCAAATGGTGCTTTTCTTAAACTACAGCATATTTTGGAAAACAAAAAAAAAAAAAGACAAGCTGTCATCTTTGTGTGATTCGGTGTGAACTTCACTGCTGTAGTGCCTCTAAGTTGTCCAGAAAGATAGTTGGACTCCTAAAAGGTAATTTTATGTAAAGATGGAAAAATCTTTGCAGCCTGAGGATGTGATGAAGCCATGACAGGCGGATGGAGAAAAAAACAAAAGACGGATGGGCAGCTTGGATTAAAATATACAAAAACCAAACAAATCCTTGGAGTTCAGACGTGGGTAATTCCTTCAGTACCGGGCTCCGACACATTGCTTCCATACTCAGATTTCTAGACATTTTTCTGTAGCTTTTACAACTTTTCTAGAGATTTGAGTACAATACAATTATCATGATTTTGTTTGCACCTTATTATTATCACAAAAAATTATAAAATGCTGAAATTAGCTGTAATTATTTTAAGTGTGGGGTTATTTAACAGCCTTTGTGGCATCGGGGACAAATTTGGATTCATGAAAAACCTCGAGCATCTTAGAGGAAAGGCAGATTCTTCAAGACACAGTTTGGAATGTTTACATTATAAACATTTCCTAAAAATATTATTTACTTTTCTGTTTAATAATGAAAGTTCATTTGGACTTGAAATTAAAACTCTCTATAGAGCAGCGCACTGCATTGAACCCCAATGAAAACCTCCTTATTATTCAACCAAATATTGATTTCTGAACTCTTCCTGAGTTAAAACATTAGTATTGTTTCTAAATTAATGTGAATTTGTTTTCTTTGCATTATTTGAGGTCTGAAAGCTCTGCATTTATTGTTATTTTGACCATTTCTCATTTTCTGCACATAAATACAAAATTTTTGCTTTGAACAATGTTAATTTCACTCAAACATAAACCTATAAAAAGTAAAATCAGAGAAACTGATCATTTTAAGTGATCTCTTAATTTTTCCAGAGCTGCATATGTAAAGAGAGGGATTTATTTTGGATTTTGTTTTTTGAGAAGCGTTGTGTGGGGTTAGCAGATGGAGTAAGATAACATATATTTTTGCCAAAGTAGCTTAGAGATTTGGAGAGAACCTGTAATTTATCTCGAGAAAATGGCAACAAGTGTAAAGCAAAAATATGAAGATCTTAGAAAGACAAAGTTTGTCTACGATCTTCCCACCAACTTCATTCCAAATGCACACAAACATCTATGGAGTCATCTGGAAGCCCTGCTTTGCTTCCATCCCTGCCAACCCTCACCTGGGTAACCTTTCGTGTCTTCAGCTCACTCGAGTGTGACTGAAAAAGAAAAACAATGCATTGATCAAGCCTGGACTCAGTCCTGCTTAGTGCACTGCAGCAGAAACATGGCACAGAGAGGAATGGGGGAGAAAAAAAAAAATCAATCACATATACATCACCCTCACTGGGTGAGTTAAAAAAAAAAAACAAAAAAAGAAAAAAACACACTGCTGTCTCTCTGCCACGGGCCTGCCTCTCTTTGGCTCTGGGCTTTGAGAACCCACTGAGCATGTGCAGAGCGAAGGTCAAAGCAATCCAGAAGTGAAGCTCCGCTCCTCTAACCTTTGAGTTCAGGGGCAGAGAGGAACAATCAATGGCAACATCAAAGTTGGAGGGAGGAGCAGACAAAACCAATCGATCGGTTTGGCACACTGAGGGAACAGGGAGCCTTGCAACAGTCAAAAACCATCACATACATCACTGGCAGCCGATGTTATGATCAGATATGAAAACTTATTTTACGCTACCTTCCAATCCAGGTGCATGAATTTAAACACCAGGGAACATGAACAAATTACAATGAACGTGTTTAGATGTTAACACCAAAACCTGGAAGCGTTTTAAACAGAACTACACATTCCCATAGATATAGATCCAATAGATATAGATGAATGGGGCTTAGCAAAAGGCTCAGAAAGACTTTTTGGTTAGAGGCTCTGAGTTGGCTTTCCTGTGACTTGCACACTCCATGATGTAAACAAGGACATCCGGAAAACCCTCAGAGGCATAGCGGGGTGGATGTTTGTGTGAGATCTTTTCTCTGCTGCCTGGCAACCTTAGCGAGGTTGGAGAAAGAAGGGAGGAAAAAAAAAATGAGTTGGGGGTGGTGGCGGGGCGACGGTGGGTGTCAGATGGGAGTGGACGGCGGGAAAAAAGGACCACTGGTTGTGCTGCATTGATTGAAAGCATGGGTTGGGTGGGATGGGGGCAGAGAATGTGAAAATGGATGTGTGCCACAATCTTAGTGTGATTGTGTATGTGATGTCACTGCTGCCTCACCGGTGGTGGTCAGGGGTATTTCAGCTCTGCTCCCCGGCCAGAGGGGTTCGAGCCACGCAGGCAACAGGGCGAGGGGCGACAAAGCTGCAAACGAGCGCTAAGCACTTCATGTGAGCCTCGAGGGCCGGCCCACAGACTAGCTTAGCCTAAGAGGGTTACCGATACATGCAATACTTTAAGAGCATCAAGCATAACAATTTGTTGCATACAACAAATCATTATGCTATTGGTTTCTAATATAGCTCCATTTGTAACTACGCATGACTTTCGGGGCAGCGAAGGTATAATATTCCTTCGCTGGAATATTATACCAGCTGAATTTTTCATGTTGGGAAAAATTCAGCTATTTTTCCCAACACGGAGCTACAAAGGAGAATAAAACTCAACACCATCAAAGGCATTCCTCTGATGCTAACAGGTTGCTAATGAATGGAGTATTAGTGCTAATTTAAAGAGTCATTTCTTCCATAGAGTTTTGGCCACACGTTCAAATGGCCCGTGTCACTGTACAGCTTAAAAGTATGGGAAACCCAACACCTTGTTGGAACACATGACCACCGCCGTGGCTGTTCCAATCAGATTAGCCGTGGGTGGAACATGCACATGGAAGTGACACATTTACCTTCAATGCCACTACAACACAATCCCTGCTGAGATGCAGTCACTATTTTCATAAGCTCCACTGAAGTGAGTGACATAAAAGTTGGTGGATTTGCACTAGAAATCGTGAGTAAGCAGTTTGGCTCTACAGTGTGATAAATAAAAGGAGAAATGCCCGACGCTGTCCTGATGTATAGAGCAACACAAAGTACAGAATCCTAAGCAGTTTGATTTTTTTGCCATTTCTGCTTCCCTGAGCGGCACAGCTGCAGCGCAGCTACTGTAAACTAATATGTCCGACCCTGACACTGGGTCAGCGTCCTCTATTTCAAGCCCCATTTCTACAACCAGCTCAGGGTCAAAACAGCAGCAGGACGTTTCATGGCTAAAAACTGGGTAGATATTTCCCAGACTTGCCTCCCCGCTCATCCGCTAAACCAGCTAAATCACCTCCACAGAACCGTAATCTCCTCACACCTCTAAAGTTACACCGCATTGTGTGGGAAATCATCTGCTGAACCTATAGAGACCCTCGTTGGCGTCTCACCCACTATGACACACAACATAATGAGGTAATGTGATTGTTTATTTAAGACACAAACTGTCATTAAATTTACGCTGGCAATTTCAGAAGATACTTCCGCTACCCTGCCTGAAAAAAACCCCCAAAACAAAACAAAAAAAACCTTGGGACAAATCCCAACACTTCTCTGTCGTAATTCTAACCTACCTGCACTGAACAAAGACTCGGAAAAACTCTTTGTGGCAACAAAGAGTGAAACACGACCCTCAGCTGCAGCCAGAGAAAAACCTGTTTAAAGGAAAGGTCTTTCTAATTCAAACTTCAGTCTAAACTTTCTTTCTGCCATTCATCTCTTATAATTTAAGTTTTTTTCATGAAGTTATTTCTAACATTTGCCCAGGAGCACTGTTTGTCCCCCACCCGTAATAATATGTTAAATTGCCAGCTTTGTAAAAAAAAACAAAAAAAAAAACAACAACAACCAGAGAATACTCTGAGTCCATACTTCGGAAAACTTTTCATGATTTCTCCAAGAAAAGTGCAAACCGACCCAACATGCCAAGTCCAGTATCATGTTAGACAACACTGTCTCTGTCCTGTTGGTGCAGGCAAGTGCGACACACTGAGGAGGAATGTCTCAGCCAACAATTTGATCAAAAATTGAACCATGACGGACCAAGGGAAAAATAAGCATCAGCTTTGGCCAAAAGAAAAAAAAAAAAAAAAAAAACAAAAACAAAAATATTCTGTTTTATAGAATTCAGTTCTGAAAATCTAGAAGATGCAAAGAGTACAGTGACCATACAAATGCATGCACTACCAGTGATTTTGACAGAGAAAACTTTGTTTTCTTAAAATTCAGTGAAGTGACAATATTATTAGATTTTTTATTGACTTATTCAAGCTCTGCATGCTCAGTTTTAGTCAAAATAAAATGGATTTAAATCCATCTATTCCAGTATTTACACCTAGGCAACAACTCCACCTCATCATTAAACTTTGGCAAATGTCAGATCTGCCCTACTATGATTTTTATCCTATTCATTGGTTAGTTTTTTTTCTTTTTCTTTTTGCAAAATCAATGCACTTGCTGTTCCACTAAAATCATAATTGTATTTTACCATACGATGTCTAAGGATCCATGTGGCGAAATCAGGGTTTTTAACACCCAATTATTCTCACAAAAATAATGGTTTAAACTTGCATATTACTACATTTTCACCTCCACAGTTTGTTGTTGACAATACAGTAGAAGCACTTCAAACGCTTTGCTGTTTGAGTCGAGGGAAGAATCGCACAAAACTGCGCTGCAGCTCTTCTAATATTTCTCTTCGGTAATGCGGTGATAGTCACCTGCCCACCAGGTCACCTGCCGCCTGATCCAGGATAATCTGAGAGGCAGGGCACACAGACAGTCAGGCGGACTGACAGATAGACAGATACAGACACAGGCTCCTCATCTCTTCCGCTTCACGGCCTAATGAATCTGACAGAGTAGGCAGCAGGCAGGCAGAAGGATGAGTAAGCATTTTGGGTGTAATTGTATTCCCAAACAGAGAACGAAGGGGAAGGGACTAATAAGTGGCTGAATTTCATTAGAAGTGAGCATGTCCAAACAGGAAATTGATTAGCTGACAATATTTCAAGGTCTTTTTTTTCTTTTTTTTAATACCTAATGGAATGTCTGTTCGTGTTGCCTTTATTAGGTAGCTCCTCACTTACCCTTCACGCTCCACAGGCTGATAAAATGCAGCATTTGATATTATCTGTCACGTTACTAAACATGACATGCATGGGAATAGGCAAGCTCTGGGTTGTTTCTGAATAACAAATGGACAAACGAGGGCCAAAGTGTAACTGCACTGTAATACAACAACTTGACTTGTTATCTCAGCCATCAGTGTCTTCAACTAAACACTCCTCTGGGGTCCTCGGCTTGGTCCTGTCAAGCGCCTTGACAGGGAAATGCAGCGTGGGGCCATTTTGTCTCTTTTCAGTTCTGTTTTGTTTCTCTTTGCAGGGCGGTGTTGGTACAGACCGTGGGCGTTGAAGGGTGGAGGGTGGGAAGGGTAGGTGGTGGTGGTGGGGGGGGACGCTGACCCTCACAGCAAAGGAAGGCGGTTAGTTGGCATTTTGGATGTGGGCACAGCCATGGAGTGCTGGTTTGCCCCCCTGGGGTGACACGGCGCCTGGGGAGAAAAGGGAGTGGGGTAGAGGGCGAAGAGTACAAACATATCTAAGTGCTGCCTTCACTAGAGATAGGCCCATAGCAAAGAGCACGGCCGCACGGGTTATGACAGCATGTCTGGGGGACCTTTCGTGCCCTCCACCCCCCAAACACACATTTCGGCCCTGAG